ATATATATATCGTATACGTATATTGACGTGTCTATTTCTATATACATATACAGACATAAACTTATATTACTGTAGGTATTAATTTTTTAGGGAAAATCTCACTCATATATGGTGTGGGCATTTCATTTTCATGGAAATAGTTTTTTATATCACACTCTTATGTGCTCAAAGTACATATACATGTATGTATAGAATATTGGAAGTCGCATATTAGATACAATAGGATTGCAAGGAAATCGAGATTGACTCGACTATAGCACAGCGAAGTTTTAAAATCTACTAACTCTATCACTCGCATATCGCGCCTGTAGCCGAAGCAGTGAGAACTTACAATATTTGAAAACCCTCTTCAGATGAATTGTACTTTCATGAGAACATATTATTTCTATGTGTCAGTGCTTTATGTTTGCGCGTCTGGCTTGTACTGTCGTAGTTTGTGTAATGTGTTATACGGCTATAGTATGCGTGTTAAGTATATGTATGCGAAAGGGGGCCGATTTCATCTAATCCAGATGTCGATGATGAGCCTGCATGTGTTTTCGAACAGATCTGCACCACCAGACTTTCTTTGGCAGTTGGAAGCCTCGAAGGCTAATCGGCTGCTAAAGCTTTTCTCAAGAGTTGCTTGCGTAAGGGTGATTCTCAACGAGGAGTTTTCAATAAATCAGTTGAATTAAAGGTTTTTCAACCAATGAGAACACACAGTTTTTGTTTTTCGAAAATTCATTAAACAACAAGGTGTTCAGAATTTGTTGTTTAAGGCTAACGAAAAACGAGAATACGTACCGTTAAAGTACGTTTGTCGACTGTGACGTAGAATAAGTAAAAACCATTTCATTGGTAGAATGGAAAACCGACCTTTTACAAATGTGGTGTCAAATGTTGTGTGTTTTCACTGTTTTGAGCGCTCAATTCAATTGTGCACACACACATATATGAAGTTGTCGGTTATAGGTAGATCCACACTCAATTATCTATGGAAACAGTACAGAGGGAACATAGTCGAATACGAACATAAAACGAAGAACATGAAGGAATCATATTGCACAAGTGTTATTGACTCGCAAACTATACCATGTCGGCATCGCAACAGCAGGCTAATACAGCATCGAACCCGAATACTATGAGGACGCAGCACACAGCATCGACTTCCTCAGGGATTGAAACCAATCCTATACAGAATGCTAGCACACCGCCGTCGAATCAGTCGATGGCGATCACTTCTCAAGCGTCTTCGAGCTCTTCAGGTACTTCATCGGATTTGCAAGGAGAGACAGATTTTCAAGGAGAGACAAAGAGTGTAACGAGGCGCACACAGCAGCCAAATTATTCAGCATGGCTTCGTGAATCGGCGTACAAAGAACACATACGGAAGGAAGAAATGATAGGTCTTACCGTTAGAGGAGTACCTGTCAAACATGATATGCAGCGGGCTAAATTATGTATTCACGAGAGCATGTTTATGATGTACATGAGAAGAAGGGTTTTAGCGTCCAGTCCAAACAGCGAATAATTCCGGCGTTGTATGATAATGATAGAGCGACAACTGGTTCTCCTAATTGGCTCTCGACCCCTCTAAATATAACACCAAAGAAGAAGCACAAAGTAATAAGCAAGACAAAGTTGAAGAAAGACAAACAAGAAATTCCAGTAAAACAGAAGGATGAGGCGATGACGCTTCGAAAGACTGACAATGCATTTGCAAAATTCTGTGCAATTATTACGAATGAGAAACACTACGACGGGCTTGTATCACTAGAAGAGGGTGATACACGAGCTATTCTTGACAATAAGGCTACCGGAGACAGTAACGTATTTTGGGTCGATGTAACTCAAGACTTTATGAATCCCGATTATGCATGGAACATGACAAACGAAATAATTCTAAGTGATGGTGAAGCCGATACAAGCGATTCTGACAGCGATGACGATATTGTTGACGATGCTATTCTGCGAGCACGAGTAACTAAGCACGCTGACAAGTTAGCTGAACGGCGTAGAAAGAAATCACAGTATCCAGCCTCTCCTCCACTGGAACAGTGGAAAAAAGACTGGGATGTCCTGAATGCTACCCAGAAGAGCATGGTTGAGCGAATAGGACGAGTTGATCCTATGGATATGACATTTACAACACAGGCCCGAAAGATGTTTGGAGACATTATTTGCAAGACATCCGTGAGAAATAGACTAATCTCTTGGTGGAAAGATGCCAAATCTAGCTTTGCAATTGTGAAAAAAAAAAATAAGGAGAAATCTGGCCATCATGCGCCCACATTTATGGATTTCTTTAATGGTAAGATTTGTGCACTGATATGTTGTACACGTACATATTGCCAAGTGGGGAGGGTGCTTTAGAAGCACTCTGTGCTGTTGCAGGAGGCCCAATAACTACTGGGGTGTCTAGTGCGATTGAAGGGGAAGACACAGAAGTTTCTGATTGCGCTGACTCCGGTGTGTCCACAACATCAACCGGGCGTACACGCAGTGCCAAACATGAAAAGGAGCTAAAGAGGAAAGAACAGGCCATGAAAGAATTGGCGCGTTCAAAGGAAAGCGACGAAGCTATGAACGAAACATTTTTAAAGGGGGTACAGATGTTCATTGATAGCGACAACGTGCGAGACATAGCTACACTTTCAAAAGAAATACTGGAAATCAAGAAAGCTATACTAGAAGTTGATGATGATGAAGAGCTAGAAAAAATGTTTACCAAAGTACTCCAAAAAGCAAAAGATGAGTTTAAGGCTCTACTAGGTTAATGTGTATGCTACATAGTGTATTTTGTAAATAACTG